CTCCGACGAAGGGCTAACGCTCGAAACGTCAGCTTTTGGAATCGTTACGGTGGCAAATTTACCACTTCAACTTTGTTGATATATCCAAATTATTTCATTACTCCCACCGACGCAGCCCCAAACAGTTTCTTTCGAAACTATCAGCCTTTATTCACAATATAATTCAGTTGCATACAATGTATAGGTTGCATACAGTACAATATATCAGTTGCTGGATGACAGCATAGAAGGAAAGCAATGACTCTCATTGTGGCTTTCAGTGAGATTTTGATATTAAGCTCCCCTTCTTCAATAAGTTGATATCCTAAAAGCCCAGAAAGGAACTCAGAATCCTCGTAAGGGTGTAACAGTTCAGAGCTTTCACTGCAAATTTGCTAGCCTGCATGCGAATTTTGTAACTTTTGGTGATGTTTTCATGACCCCTTAGGTATCAAACCTTTTGTCAGAGAGGACAGAACTTGAGAACAAACTATGTCAGGCTCAGCAGGATATTCAGCACTTGGAAAACACACTCCAGGTACAAGAAATTGAATAACAAAAAGTATAGTCCACGCTCAAGCTAAGTGGCTCAAGTAACAGGAGCTTATCACAGTTTCTGTCGCATGAAGCAACCAAGAGTGTTACTTCTCCTTGCAAATGGGTTGATAGTCCATGGGAGATTAACCTCCAACCATTTGCCAGATTTGTCAGTAAATAAATAATTAAAATAAATGAATAAATACGTAAATTGAAGCTCCCCCTTAAGGGCTTTTCAGCCACAATGTAAACTAACTAAGAGCTTAGAAATCCCCACTGGCAGGGGGCAGACCAGTGGGCTATTTACAGAGTTCAGCCGAGGAGTTGAACTAGGGGCAACCAAGAACAAATCCAGTGAGTGGCAGGGTGGAGAACTTAAACTTGGGACACCGGATTAGGAGTCCAGCACCCTAAACACTCGGCCATCTAAAATACAGCCAAACCTTGATTGTTGGGATGTGGGGGAATGCTCTGAATGGCACCAATAGTCAAGAGTCTGGATAATCTAAAATATTAAAAAATGTTGATGACCAGTGCAGTGTGTGGTCCTCACTGATTTCATCATTCTTTGAAGCTACATTTGTTGAAGGGTACCAACAATGTTTTGTCATTACATCCATTTTAAACAATTCTTAGAACATTCAACAGCTTTGGAAAGCAGAACATATTCAGTTGTAATGGGAGTTTCATTATATGTGCTTAATTTTGTCATTAAAAAGTTGTTAAAGATCATGAATATAAACAATTACATGTACAAAAAATGGGACCAGAGAAGTGATTCAGAATGGTTAAAAAATAATCCTGATTAACAAGGTCTGGATAATCAAGATTTAACTGTACTCCTTAGTGGAGAAAGCAAGTGTGAGGGTAAAGTCTTGCTGCTGAGAACAAAACATGCTCAGACCCTCCGCATAGAGTCCAGTGTGGCAACCAGTGGGTCACCCTGCTTGTAATTCATCAAAATTTATATCTACTAACTAGCTACATGACAGACAAGCTCATGGTGACAGTTAAAGATAGTACAATTTTCCTTTTTATTTTATAATAGTCTACCTTGCAAGAAAAAGGTTGCCATGAATCTTCCATTGCTGAGCTTCAGAGAAAACTGGAAGAATTGAGGCATGAAAATGATGTGCTTCTGGAGAAATTACAAGTAAGTGAAACAGGAAACAATTGGATTATATGTTTGATATTGTGGTTATCTTATAAGTTTTATATGATTGGAAATAATTTTAATTCTGAAACAGGCCATAACAACAACCAACAGTAAAAAAGAATCATTAGGGGGAGAACTGACAACAGTCAAGCAACAACTGCAAGATAAGGATGGGGTGAGTTTCACAGACCAAAATATCGATTTGGAAATTATTACTCGGTGAAAGAAAAATCTGGGTTTTGTTAGGTTCGACTTTATAAAAGGAATCAAAGATATAAAAAGAAATTTCATATTAGTACCACTAAAATTCTTAGAGTAGTTATTGATGAAGTGAATGGTTTTTTCCTCTTTGCTTGTTTGTCTTCATAATTTCATTCTGACTGACCATTAATAAGCTGGTTCAAAATGATTGGAATGCCATTGAGTGTCATGTGCATTCATTTGACAGTGTATTCCAAAAACCTAACTAAATTTAAAAGAAGAAAATCTGCTCACTTTTGTAACCAGCTAAGTCAATTTTCCAATATGTTATAATACTGTTACTACCAGGGCTTGACACTAACGGTAGCCCACTAGCCAGTCAGACCAGTAGAAATTGGGTTTTGGCCAGTGGTTTTCAATTTCGACTAGCCAGTTTGGCTAGTAAACAGACTGAAATTATTGTAACATTTAAGATGTCACTAGCCACTTGGCTAGTAAGTAGAAAAGTTAGTGTTGAGCCCTGTACTATTAAACTGATATGATTAGCTAATCTTTGCGTAATGCCTTCGTGTGAATTATTTTCGACAAGAGGTTTGTGTTGTATGTGGGTGAAATTTGATAAACATGATGATTTTTTTTTAAACCATAGGTCATATCCAGTCTTAAATTTGAACTGAGCTGTGCAGCTCAAAGCTCAAGAGCTGACTTAGAGTTGGAACAGGACAGAAACAGAGCTCTCACTGAGAGGATTTTATACTTAGGTTTGTTGATGGAGACACTGATTAGACTGAAAAAAACTTTTTCATCTTGTTGTACTGCTACAGATTATGTGACACAGAAAGATCTCAGGGAATTTTTTCTTTGAAAATTGCTTGTTTGTTTTGGCACTCTTGTTTTTGACAAAGATAGAATGTCAAACTCCCAGAGAATTATACGCAAATTATATTTATTAGATGTATTCATCATGAAACATTTTCTCTCCAAAAAGTTGCCGACATCAACATATACAATATTACATCATGCTTAAATTCAATTGCTGGAAATTGGTTGTAATCTAAATGTTCTTTATTCCATACTCCTCAATTTGCCTATGACCAAAAGTATTTCATTTCAAAATTGATGTCATGTTTGTGATACTTGCAAGTGCTTTAAAAATATCATCCTTAATTCATGATTTTCCCAATCAACTATTATAGTTTGTGGCATAAAGGAGAATGATTATGCTTTCAGAGAAGACGGTTTCAGAGGTAACACAGGACAGAGATGACGTAGAAGAAGCCAATAAACAACTCCATGGTATGTAATGGTTATGTTTGAATTTAAGCTTTGCATTGCTTGGCACCAATCTTGACTTTTACATTTACGCACAAGGTTGTGCTCTAGGGAAGATTGAATGGAGCCCAGTGCTATGAAACTGTGAAATCCAGTGTGCCCAGCATATGCTTTTTATGAAAAAAACTAAAATTCCTGGGTTGCCCAAGAGCAAAAGTAAGTTGCCAGGGGCCACTGGGCGTTGCTAGACCACAGCCTTGACTCATTTTGCTCCTCTTTCCAAATGACAACATTTTCAGAATTGGTTGCAAGTCTTAGAAGTGATAATATGGACTTCAGAGCAAAGCTTGATGAAACTGAAGAAAAACTAGAGGTATGCATTGTTACAAACCTTCAAGAGCTTGTCACTTAAGTGACAACTACCCAGAGATATCAACAACTCTTTCCCTAGGCAGCTGCCAAAAGTGTAGTTCCAGTTACTGTGCCCAGAAAAGGGCCCTTAAGGCGAAAAACGAGAGCAATGCATTTGTTAAAACCTTTAAGAGCTTGTTGCTTAAGTACCCCAAGGTATCAATAACTCTTTCCCTTGGGGCTGTGTCCAGTAAAGGGGCCTTAAGGCAAAACCCAAGGACTAGAGCCTGTAGGCTAAACAGAAGGCGATAGAGACCTCTGGTAACTGACACTCCTATATCTGAGAAAGAACCCTGTCCAGTGAGACAGTAATTACCTGTATAGTTCACCTTGTCTTGTATATGAGTACTGCAATTGTACTAAAAAAGAATGATATTTTCAAAGGATTTAACTTTATGCTTAGCATTACACCTTTCTTCATTGCTCCTCCTTATCATAATTTTAATGTTATAAAAGTTGTGCTGTTAAGTAACACCTGAATGTAATTCAGGTTGTCCATGAGAAGATGAAGAATGTTATAAAGGAAAATGAGAACAAGGTTGTTTCTCTTGAAGGGATGTTGAGCAAAGAGATGCAGGTATGAAATTAAAAGTGTACATGATTTGTCGATTGTCCAGAGAGTGGTTAGCACCTCTTGTAAATGTGTCGTGATCCATGTACCCATTCCTTCCGCGCTCAGTTCTTTGCAGTAGATTAACAGCAATGCATTACTTATGAAAGCCAGTCCCAACATCCATTGTCAATGTCTATGATGTAGGCACTGCAGATGTGCAGTGCACAGGCTCTGCTGAGTGCTACACCTAACTCTGAATGACTGAAAATATTAAGTTTCAAAAGTCTGTATGAGGATGTGTAGTCTGTCTGTGATAAATACTTCCAACTGAAGCTAAAGGGATAGAAGAGAAGCATATCATGTGGATGCAATGCCTTCTGTGCAACTCAACTTCAGGGTTTGTACAGGACCTTGATAGTCCTGGGAATTTAATTTTTAATTTCCAGGACTGAGAAGTCTTGGGAAAAGAATACAAGTGCTGGAAAGTCCTGGAAATCTGCTTAAATGAAGCAGTAAAGTTTTCAGAATCAATGTTGTAATAAATGTATACAGACTGTAAGGAGAATTGATTTTGAAATCTTGGTAATGAAAGGGTTTAAGGTGAAATTTGGAGTCATGGAAAAATCAATCTGAGTCCTGAAAAGTCCTGGAAAAGTCCATAAAATTTGTTCTGAAAAAAGGGATGAACCCTGCAACTCACTTAAAAGGTAATTTGCAATTTCCAAATGTCTGTTATCTCTAGAAAAGTCAAGATTTTGGTGAAAAGTTGGAGTATTCCTTAAGACAGACTGAGGAGAATTTTACCAAAGCACAATCTACAATTGTCCAACTACAAGAGGCAAAAGAAAATTTGGAGAACAAAAATCATTCTTTGGAGGCTAAACTGTTTGAGTTGATTGAGAAAGAGCAATCTGCAGAAGAAAGGGCCAGGTACTGGATCACACATTTAGAATGGAAGATTCACATAGACATAGAGTATAAAGACAACATCAGTCTTAGAGAATTATTGAGTCATAAATCAGTTTGTTTGTGTGTAGAGGTTTGTCTGCTATTTTGCCCCCTGCCTTGTTTAGATGTACCTCCAGTGATGTTAGAAAATTTTCAGATAAAATCTAATGTTTCACACTAAAAAACGTATCAGATCTCTGACTTGATTTTAATATTTAACCTTTTTTCTGATGTTGGAAATTGTAGACATTTGTCTGTGGAGAACGTTTCACTTGAGAGTAGACTTCACAACTGTGAAAGTGATTATGAACAGAGACTGTCTATTGCAAATGATCAAGTAGAATCACTGCAAAAAGAACTTCACAGGTAACCACATCAACATCTGATTTTAGTGATTGTTGCCATACAGTAGCATCCCTCCCTCAGGGGTTTCCATGGTATAATATTCCATCTGTTTCAGCTTTGGGCCATCTGTGCTTATTCTGGTAAACACATCCCTGGCAGCACCTTGATAGAATCCATTTTTCGTTCCACTTAATTTTTTGTGGCATTCCCAAGGCTCGACACTAACTTTTCAACTTACCAGCCAAGTGGTTAGAGACAACTTAGATGTTACAACAATTTCAGTTTATTTATAAGCGAAACTAGCCAGTGGAAATAAAAAAACCACCAGCCAAAACTGAATTTCTACTAGTCTGTTGCTAGTTTGTTCCCAATAGTGTCAAGCCCTGCTTCCTCTTCACTGTTTCCTCTTCAGTTGAATATCTTTACAAATGCTGGGTTGATGAAGGATATGACCATTGTTATGTTTTCATTTGCTGATAACTTTTCATGTCCATCTTTTCCTGCCCACCTTGCAAAATGTCCACTTTTCAAATGCCTCCATTTAATTTATATATCTTATTAACCAAATGCGAGGGCCGTACTGGGAGAATATTGGCCCGAGGTCTTGACAGTACGGACCTCGCTGCACTCAGTCCGTACAAAAAAAAAACGAGGGCCGATATTGGTTGGTTAATAAGAGGTTTATTATACAACTGAAGTTCAAAGGGACACAAGCGCGGTATCATTCGGGACCATTCGGGGCAGTGCCCGGTCCAATACTGAGAGAATATTGACCGGCAATAGAGCATTTTGATTGGTTGATTTTAGTTATTGGCCCTCTGTCTGCCCGAGTCGTGTAATAACCAATTTTCTATTATCTCTTTGACACTGGCTTGGTAACAGACAGCTAGCCATTGTTTATTTGCATCATGGAAGTTTGTATTATTTTGTCATAGGTATGAGGAAATGATGACAGAGAATTTGAGGTCATTGACTGACAAATATCAAGACCTGGAGGATTCTTACAGTAAGCTGTTATACAGATAAAAGTTTGATTCATTGATTGATATTTGGTGAATTGGGAGACAGATTGATATTAAGGATGTGAATAACTGTCAGGTTATTAATTCACCTAATTTACAGTTGTAGCAAGCCTTAAGAAATCAATTTCTCAATTGGTTCCTGATATTTTTATCTTAGCCTGCTATCAATCTGAAGCTGAAAAAGAGAAGAACTTGATTTTAGCTGAGTTAGAAGTGACAAAGCAGTCTTTTCAGAAAAGGTAAGGTTGCTTTCTCTTCACTGTGTAATGGTTCAATGTGAATAAAGTGGTGTTTGTAAGCTTAAACCTGCCAGACTTCAAGCTCTGATGTCTCAGGTTTGTCAAACTCATCGCATCTCTGGCGTCTTGAAGGAATTTACAATTTAGGGAAAGGTTTGTGTTGAGCAGGGAATGCTGTGACTGGTTGAAGAATGATGTGAGTTTCGCTGTTGATTAGCCGGCAGGAAAGTGATCAACAACTAAAGACTTGTGTCCACCTCACGCAAAAAAATAAACAGCTTCAGGAAGAATGCGATGGACTAAGTGAACAAGTGAATTGTTGGAAGGTACACCTGTCTCTTAATCTTCTTGTGTTGCATTATGATTATCTTTTCACAAAACCTTTCATATATAACTGTGACAACCCCAGTTTACTCCTCATTGTCTGGAAGCAGCAGTCAGAAAACGGTTTATTTGGAAATTTTTGCTTATCATTTTCTCTTTTTGTAGCTATGAGCTTAGTAGGCTCCTGTGGGCAGGGATCATTATCACAAGTGCAGGCTCTTGTAAAATGCACCTGGCCTCTTAGAGCAATTCCTTTGAATCCCAAGCCAGTTTTAAAGCGGTTTTTTTCAACTGTATGCTCATCCCACCCCAACCTTTTTTTAATTTTATTTCTTACAATGATCCAATCAGTGTTGACTGGGTGCCCATTGCTGGGTTGCGGAGATTAGTTCGCCGTGGCGGCGGTATTGGCTAGACTAATCGAAAGTCTCAACATTTCCCAGGCTCACATCTTCAATTTTCACCAGGGCAGTGGTGAACGGAACAAAAAAGACAAGTTTTGTTTCATCCATTTAGCTACTAACAATCTGAGCCCCAGTTGTTCAAAAGCTATCCTGCGGATTCATCGCTTTCCAACTGATTCATCGCTGTCCGGTGGATAAGTGTTAATAAAACGTACATCGCTACCCACCGGATAAAGTTTTGTTCTTTGGATAGCGTTATCTTCCCTTCAAATAACTATGGCCTCGGTTCGATTTCCCCGTTTTGTTGGGTCTCGTTCTTGCCTCATCCCGAAAAGTCTTTTCATGGGAGGAGCACGGGCTACTTTCCCGAAGAGCACTTGGTAATCGAGCCCAGTGACGATCTGATGTTCTAAAAATATCTTTGTTTTTATTTCATTTACGTCTGTTTTAGACTGAAGCTGACTCATTGAGAGATAACTTATCCAGCTGTCAAAGAGAAGTCGAGCACGCCAAGGTGAGTTAGTCTGGTCTTTGTAGAGCGGCGGGAGAATTTTATCTTTGCCAAAAAACTTACCGTAGAGGATAGGGGTTCTAAGGTTGTAACTACTCCCTGTATTTCAATGAAAAGTTACAATCTGGCATGACCCCTAAATCCCACTGAGTAAGACGACCGCTCTCTCCTGTAAGCCCCTCGGTACGCCCTTATGTCTGGAAGACTTTGGGTGCAACTTCGGCAAAAAATATCGTTCACTCTTACTTGCAGGAAAATCACGGAGTCTGAGTTTTATTTTCACAAATAACTCTTTTTGTAAGCTCCAATTAACAACTATGGTTATGAAAGGAAGTATCCGGAGAGTTTGAGTTGGCTCGTTTTCATTCTTTGTCCTTGCTTTTTGTTTGTTAACGTTGTACTTCTGGCATTGAATGTCTTTTTAGGTTGAGTTGGAAGCCGCCAAAGAAGAACTGGTAAAAAGTCTGGAAGAAACAGGGCTTGCTAAGGTTTCTCTGAGAAAAGCACTAGACGAGGTACCTCCATGGAGTCATCTTTGAAAGCTTTATGACTTCTCACTTCTCCTTCGTAAATGTTAAGTTAGCAAATGAATAGAATACAACAATTTCCATTGGTTTCAAATCAAAACATTTCAAAACAATTCAACCTTCAAAACAATTCTACGTTCAAGTGTTGTCTCAAACTATTATGTCAGTTTAACTCAGTCGGTCGCCTTTTTTCTGTTTTGTTTTGTTTTTTAATTTTTTAATCAGCTGCAATGACTTGGACTGATTTCATTTCCTGTTCTCATCCCAAGGCTAACAGCACTATCGATAACCTCAACCAGAGAGAGGAAACCTTATCTCAGAAATTACAATTCATGGAAAGGTTTGTCTTCGCGGTGCAGATACTGATATCAACTCTGTAGCTCTTTAACGCAAACGCGGTGACTATATTGTCCGCGTACTGACCTCCAAGTGGAGAGGTCTGGGTTCCAGCTCAGACTGAGACATTAGGGAACTTAAGCAGTCACGACGGCAACGCCACGGAAGACGTCGATTAAAATATGAGTTTCTACTTTTAGTTAGAATTTCGAAAATGGCTGCATGTGTTTACCGTCTCATAGGGCGCCAGACCTCAAACTCAACATAACGCATAAAAGTAGCGTTGAGTTCCAAATGTAAATTAAAATAATTTGCCGCCGCGGTTTCGCTTCGCAGACGACGCAAATTTTGGTGATTTCACGTTGTTGTTTTGCAAAGGACGGCTAAGAAATGTACAAAGTTTTAAAACGCACGTGCTGGGCTATTGTTCTGCCAATTAGATCTATTGTTTTTCCACGTTCTCGTTGCCGTAGCCGTCGTGGTTTGCTTAAAGTCCCTAATA